TGACGCACAACACTTCAATTGGAAACACAAACAGTAGTTAGGGACATTACAGCAACACTCTACACTAACAAAATCATAAACAAAAAACAAAAACAATATCTGGATGGTCCGGAGGAGCCCAGGCCCCGCCTCTTCTACTTGCTCCCCAAGATCCACAAGCCTGTGGAGACGTGGACGGTCCCCTCTGTGGTTCCGGTCGGCCGCCCCATCATCAGCGACTGCGGTTCAGAATCCTACAACATAACAGAATACATCGATCATTTTATTAATCCCCTATCAAAACTCCACCCCAGTTATCTCAGAGACACTTATGATTTTGTTAACAAAATAAAAAACCTCACAGTACCCAGCCACACTCTCATTTTCTCCATAGACATAGTCTCACTGTATACCAACATTGAAACCCCACTTGGCCTCACCGCAATTCCGCACTCCTTCAATAAAAACCCAGACCCTTCCAGACCCGACAGCCAAATTATTCAGTTGCTCCACCTCACACTCACCCGCAATGACTTCATGTTCAACAATAACCACTACCTCCAGCTGTGTGGTTGTGCGATGGGCCGGAAATATGCGCCAGCCTACGCGGATATTTACCTGGCCCATTGGGAGGAAACGGCCTTCACTAAACTCCCCCTCAAATCCCTTCTGTACTTCCGGTACTTGGATGACATCTTTGGCTTATGGCATCACACATAACAGGACTTCCTCACCTTCTCAGACATCCTCAACACACATCACCCTAAAATAAAACTCAAACATCAGTTAAATACACACACTGTGGAGTTCCTCGACACTGGGGTCTTTTTCCGCGGCTCCGGCGACCACAGCAAGACACTCACCACCAGGGTTTTCTTTAAGGACACAGATCGCCATGCACTCCTCCATAAAACCAGCGATCACCCTGGGCACACGTACAGAGGTCTGATTAAGTCCCAGCTGATCCGCTTCCACAGGATATGCACCCTCGCGGAGGATGTGGAGGAGGCTACCAGAATCCTCTTTAGTGCGCTGAGACCTAGGGGCTATTCGAGGCGCTTCCTTAGAAGCATTAAGGCGGAGGTCAGCCGCACCTTCATAGAGAAATATAAAGACATCTCCGCCCGGCCGTCCGGCCCTACCCTGGTCCCCCTCATCACAACCTACTCAGGTAGCCTGACCAGCGTTCTAGGCAAACTAAAGGCCAATTTTGAGGGGGCCAGGGGTGGCTGTGACGTGCTGCGGCCGTGCCAGCTGATCTCTGCCTACCGGCGTAATAAAAATCTCCAGGACCTCCTGGTCCATACCAAACTAAATAAAAGCACTAAAACTAGGGAGGCGCCTCGAGTCTCTGAGGTTGGTTTCGTTCGCCTCCCCCACGTTTTCAATCCCTTCTCTCGAGAGGGGAGCAATGTACGGCAGGCCTTGACACCTAACACAAAAAACGCTATTTATGCAATTAGGTGCAAGGCCTGCCAGAGACTCTATGTGGGGGAAACGCGCAATGAGATCAGCCTCAGAATTAAACAACATCAATATAGAATTAGAGACGGGGACGGCACGAGCGTTTTATATAACCATTTTAAACTCCATGGCCTCCAGAACGTGCAGTCCATGGGCCTGGAGAGCAGCAGTGGCTGGAGCACGGGCCAGAGGCGAGCGGCGGAGCGGAGGTGGATCCATCGCCTGGGCACCATTGACCCGGGCGGATTAAACGAAAAATACAATTGATGGGTCCGCCTCCCACCACTTAAACATGTTTTATTAACTTTAATAACCTGTGTGATCTCCTCTCCCCCCGGGGTCTCTCCCCAGATGGGTGATTTTGATTCCCTTCTCTGCGGGTGTGTCAGCCTGTTTTAATCCGCCCTCCACGTATTTTAGCACTTATATTTATTTATTAATTATCTATAGATCCTCCTCATCTGGACTTTTTTTATTGGTGTGCTACATTTTTATCGCATGTTTTTAGCACTATCTTATATATTTTAATGGTGTTCATATTTATGTTTTTATTACTTCTTACATGTTTTATATTTTTAAATGTATATATGTATGTTTTTATCTGATAATGATCAAAGCCACATGAGGAGGGACGCTTTTATTTGTTTATTTATATTTATTTTAAATTATTTTATTACCTGGAGGCCAGAGAACCACCCGCAGAGGGGAACTCTTCACCTACCTGCTACCCTTTTAAATAAACAGAGCCAAAAAATACCTACCCTTTGGAATCTTTTAGACTTACCGACCTTGATTTTAGTGGTTTTTGTTTTTCAGTGACATCCAGTTCATTGTATACGATTTTACTAACCCGGTGTGCCTTTATTTTATTATTATTAGTTCATTTTAACACTCCCTTTACTTTTTAAATGAATATTACTAGGGAGATTGTTTTAATTATTTGTATTTTTATCATTGCACTTGTGTTTTAACTGCACTTACACTTCTATGCATGGCTTACTAATAGAACTAGAATCACTTTTAAATTGACCATTTTAGATCCCCCTATCATTTAGGGTGTTTTATAGATTCCATTGGGACAAGCTCTGCACACGCACACACGTAAATATATTGGCACACATACACACACACATACACACACACATACACACACACATACACACACACATACACACACACATACACATACACACACACATGCACATGCACACACACACACACACACACACACACACACACACACACACACACACACACACACACACACACACACACACACACACACACACACACACACCACCCTCCAGATTCTGGGACGGGGAGATCTGCTTTTTAAACATACTCTGCCGCCGTTCCGTGGTCCGGCTCCGCTCTACACCATTCTTTTGAAACGGTCTTGTACTTACGAAGCTTTTATGATGCTTTTTAAAGGGTTTTTATAAGTTTTATTTTTATGGAGGTTTTTAATGTTTTACTTTTTTTAAACACCTATCTACCGAGAGCCAGTGCACCACGCGTGGGCTCCTCCGGAGCCCTGCACTCTTCCCCAACCTAACCCTAACCCTAACCCTAACCCTAATGTTTATTTGTAGATATCTCCTAAAGCCTACAGATAAAGTGTGACATGTAGGCCTGTTACATTTGTTATTGAGCGATATATATTATACACACTGTTCTGCTTTCTGCACTGACCTCAGCAGCTGTTCTCACTGTAACATCACCTAACATCCAGGGGACATGTGATTAGTAAGTAAACAAACGGTAAAGGGCAGAAAGTCTGATGCACATTTGATCATCTCAAATAACTTATAATCACAACAGGAACAGTTTGCAGAGCTGTGCTTCGTTTGACAGAAGTCCAGACATGCGTCACGCCTCTTTTAAACATCACTGTTGGCTGAAATCGTCTCAGGAGAATACTTCAGTGTACCCTCGGTTATAGCTCCTCTCGAGACACTCCTCTCTCCTCTAAATCAGTGTATCCTCGGTTACGGCTCTTCCAGACAGCCTCCTCGATAATCGATCCTCGACGAGCCTTTAGAGACATTTGTTTTCCTTCGACATCCGTTTCCGGGTCGCTGCCGGAGCACCTGGGAGTCTGGGACGCCAAAATTATAGAAATGAGAAACGGCTCATTTCCCAGGACTCGCGCACGTCTGCTTGACGCCGGGACGACCGGCCGCCCTCCCCGACAGGCGCACGGATGCGAGGGCCCGCTCATAACACACAAGTGCGATCGCAGTTTTAATTTACTATTATTATTATTGGATTTGTACTATTATTAATTTTATAATATCTTTGTATTTATTATTGTTATTATTTTGTACTATAATTATCATCATTCTTATTTTCATTTGCAATATAATCTTTCAATGATCTTAACTATTATTATTTGTAGATTTTTTATATACAATTTATCCTCCCTAATTTATTATTATTATTATCATTATTATTCACTAAATAATATTTATAATATATTTTGTACTACTATTATTTTTGATATATTATGTTTTTAGAATTATTATTTATTTATTTTAGAATGATTAATAGTTATCTGCCACTCTATTGAGTGCAGTCGATGTCTGCTGTGTCGCGGAGAGGAAGGGTGTGGTTGCTAATTGGATCAGCCTTCAGACAGAAACAGGGACTCTCATTAATAATGAAAACTGTATTCCTGTATTGTTCATGAAACTGGAAGCTCTTTCTCCACAGAATGCTGTGTAAAAAGCATTTTCCCTGGATGTATGTTTTGTAGTTTAACCAATAGGATACCCCGGATGTTACCAGTCGTTTTGGTAGCACTTTAATTTCTAACCACGAGGTAATTGAGGCGTGTCTTTTAGCTCCTTACTTCCTAACAGGAGAACAAAGACGTGATCTTACCTGTAAACCTTTGAAAGTGGAGAGATCTCATGAGTCTGGAGACAGCAGGATTCACAGCATCCCTCAATGATTGGTCCCTGAACTGCACTACCATATGTTACATCTAAACAGCTGTTCACATCAATAAGCAGGCAGTGGATCTCCTTCTCTCTGATTGGCTGATTGCAGTCTTTCAATATCAACGGTCCGGTCTTATTAATAAAGAAAAGGTTCCCATTGGTCGCCTTTCCCTGACACATGCGCATTAGAACCCCCCCTCAGTTTACTGCCTCCTGATTGGTCCGTGTGTTTTTAGTTTCACTTTCAAGTCAAGGAAGAAATTCAAGGCAGCTGCAGTGTTCATGAAGCAGAGAGACGTGAGGACGAACAATAGTGTTAAAGAATAAACACCTTTATTATATAGCAATAAAGCATTTTTACACTTTTACGTCGATCAAGTCGACATTTCCAAATATTTCCTCCTGTAGGAAATTCAATGCAGATTGTGCAGAATAAGTAAAAAAGTAAATACAATTGTTTTATTTATAATGTGTAACATTTTGAACATGGATAAAAATTACCTACCCCACCTTTAAATGCAGCATGGTAACAATATCCATGTAAACAAAGATGACCTTACAGCTGAATGATCAAACTCAGTGAAGGCTGAAATAAATTCATATAACAATGACACTTTACAGAGGTTACACTGAGCTCTTTCCTGACTCTTGAATCAGATGTTGGAGAGTCTCACTTCATGCTCAGATTCAGATGGAGATATGTTAGTCCTGATGGTTTGTTCCTCTGATAAACTCCCCATCTGTATGGCTGCATTGTAGGTTCTTCTCTTAAATCTAGGAATACAAACTTTCCAAATGCTGACAACAAAGAGAACCAGAACAGCTGCTGACACACCAACAGTAACCCAAACACCTGCCCAACTCTCTGCTTGAGGACTCTCTGATGGTCTCTGAGGTTCGAGCTCTTCAGCAGCTGTGGAAAAGGACAGAAAATAACATGAGGAACGATTTTAGTGTTAATATATAACAGGTTTAATCTAGAGTGAAAACATGACAATCTGCAACCTTCATTCTTCTGAAAAACATCCTGTGGTTCCAGCTTCTCAGTTTCCCCTTCTCCACTAAAATGAGTTCTGTGTGGGGCTGGTTTGGATCACAGTTGGTTTGTGAGAAGAGATTTATTTTAAAATGAGTTGTGAACATTTTAAACAGTTAAAACAAGCCGTTCTTAAGATTTGAGCAGCAGGACTCTTTTGGTCTTTCATTCACACTTTGTTGAGAATCTGCTATTTACTTTTCCAACTGTTAACTGTTCAATTATTGGCGAATATGATCCAATATTAGCGGCAACATACTGGACGTAGATGCATTAGTATTAGCTCTCTGGGGACTCTAGACTTCTACTGAGGTTACTCACCAGTGACGTTGAGCCAGCATCTCCTAGAGTTACTCCCATCAGGTCTGACGAGTATGTCACACACATAAAACCCAGAGTCATTGGTCCTGAGTCTGGAGACATGAAGTGTGAGGCGTCCTTCTGGGAGGACGTCTTTGTCACACTGGAGTCGTCCAGCAAACTGTGGATCCTGAGACTCTGGGAGTTCATCACCTTCATTTAGATGAAACAGGAGGTAGGGTCTGATATATGTATAAAGCTGACAGAAGGTAGAAATGGATCTGAGGGAAGTGTCTCTTCTGGACCTGAAGGTCCACTCCAAGGTGATGTTCTGGTTCTCCTCTGCCTGATAGGAAGTCTGAGTCACATTCACTACAAATGTTCCTGTGGAGGAGAAACAGAGGGACTCTTTAAACTGCAGCTATGTTCCTGTGAATGAGACACAGAGGGACTCTTTAAACTGCAGCCATGTTCCTGTGGAGGAGACACAGAGGGACTCTTTAAACTGCAGCTATGTTCCTGTGGAGGAGACACAGAGGGACTCTTTAAACTGCAGCCATGTTCCTGTGGAGGAGACACAGAGGGACTCTTTAAACTGCAGCTATGTTCCTGTGGAGGAGACACAGAGGGACTCTTTAAACTGCAGCTATGTTCATGTGGAGGAGACACAGAGGGACTCTTTAAACTGCAGCTATGTTCCTGTGGAGGAGACACAGAGGGACTCTTTAAACTGCAGCTATGTTACTGTGGAGGATACACAGAGGGACTCTTTAAACTGCAGCTATGTTCCTGTGGAGGAGACACAGAGGGACTCTTTAAACTGCAGCTATGTTACTGTGGAGGATACACAGAGGGACTCTTTACACTGCAGCTATGTTCCTGTGCTGCTTTACTGAGAACAGCTTTAAAGAGACTATCTGAAGCTAACCAGAGACAGATGTCTCCTCAGGTGAGGAAGAGTTTTAGGGTATGAGGGGACATCAAGAAGAAAAGGACTATTTTACTTTTTTATTCAGCATGTTAAGAAAAAGCCAAAATGTTGAGTAAAATAAAAATCTTTCAATTTGAGGGCAGTTATTAGGAAACATGTATCAGAAAAAACAGTTAAGCTTTTAAAGTGTAATTATTGAGAATGAACATTGAACTTTTAAGAATAAATTACTTGTAACAAACTACTTTTGTCAGAGAATATACTGAAAGTTCCACTTCTTGACATTTTGATTTAAAAAAGCTAAATAAATCAGAATCCCCCTCCTCAGTGTTGACCCTCTTTTCTTGCTCTAATAGTGTTCCACACCAAAGAGCTCTAAGATGCTTCTTTAGGAAAAGGTACAACGAGACACAAAAGGTTTTTCAATAATATTCAATGTGTCTAAGTGGGAAATAAAGGAGTACACTAACCAGAGACACAGGGGGTGAGGAAGAGGAGCAGCAGGATGAGGAAGATCATCTTCTCCCTGTGAGAGGACACACACACACACACACACACACACACACACACACACACACACACACACACACACACACACATCAGAAAACATACAGTCTGTCTTTACCACATGACTTATTGCACAGAGGACTGACACCAGGAACAGTAACACATGTCTGACACTAGGTGGCGCCAGATATCAACATTATATTTAATCTGAACTGAATCAGGAAATACTTTCTGCTTTGAGATCAGAGAACACAGACTGAAATACAGGACCAACTGAACCCCTTCAGTTTAGTTTCAGAATCTCTCTGAATAATAACAATAATAATACAAATAATCTATTGTTATTATTGTTATTATAAAAGTGAATGTGCTTCGTGGGGAGAAAGAGACAGCTTTTGCATTCAGAAAAATTATAAGTGGCATGTCTTGTTTTATAAACCTCTTCTCATATTTTAAAATCTGAATTGAAAATGCTATTCGTGCTCATGATATAAAAATAAGAACCGATGTTTGCTTAAACTAAAATAAGATAATGTAACCTTTAAGTATGGGATTAGTTTTGTATCATAAAGATAAAGCAACACTTTTTCAGAATAAAGCAAAACTATGAGTTTAAAAGAAAAAAAAACTCAAGCAAAATAAAATACATTTCAAAAATAAAACTATAAGTTGCAAACAAATCATTTGTGTAATCATGTAAACTATAAGTATTTTTTCTTTGTTTTAACATAGTTTTTTGTTTGCAGTTCTTGTTTCTTCTTTCTCAATGATCAGACTTTAGCTCTCGCTGCAGCACTCTCTTTTGCGCTCCCTCATTTTTTGTTTGAGATTCTGACACAAACCTCCCAGGTGGGCGGGACTTTCAGGGGTGCGTCCCCATTGGCTACTCAGTTTTTGAGTGACAGCCCAGTCCTCCAGCGATCGCACAGTGCAGGCAGCTGCGGTGCGGTAGCTAGCTGAGCATGGACAGAAGACCCCCAGAAGAACCAGCATTTCAATTATTATAATACTACAAGTGAAAATATATGTAAGTATTGATCATTTATGTTGTTTGTGCTATACGGTCTGTTTCTTTATTGTGTTAAGTGAGAAGCTGTGCTATGAAAGTTAGCTTGTGCTACCTTTATCCATAACAATGTAAGCTAAGTAGCCTAACAGTTAGCTACATAGCAGTGAGTGAGCGTTCAGACACCGGCGCACACACTCAAACAGACTCGTGTGCCTGACTCTACCAACAGGCTTTCATGATTCTGTTTAGATATGCAAGTATAAGCCATGATAGCTTATTTTATTAACATGCTAATTTGATATGAAAATCAATGGAAGCTGAGTTAACTTTGTAGGAAAACCTACCGTCCATGAGCTGTGTTTTATTTGTTAACTTCATATTTTTCATTTCCTAAAACAGTTATTTTCCTCTCATATTAACAGTGTGGATCATTGAGACAGCGTGGCGTCCAGAGGCTTATCCCGTTTCCCCACTTCCTCTGAGGGGACAGCACGGAGGGGGGGCATGAAGAAAGACCTGCACCAGCTTCATCCACGCTGGCGTTACTGTTATCACTGGCTCAGTGTCATTTCATTTGACCAAATGTCTTTACATATACATTTAATAGATGTTATTATTATACACCTTTTTGTTTTATGTCCTTTTATTTAAAACATTCTTTGAGACTTCATCTTCTGGTTCAAATTTCAATACATGTAATTTGTATAATCACTCTTTTGTCTTTATTCTACATGAAAATGTTAGAGAATCCATTCAAATCTGTTGATTATTCATATCTTCCTCAGGCTAGGAATAATATGTTGAATTTGTAATGCTAAATGTATATAATTTTCTCACAGGATATAGAATGAAACAACACCGGTTTTATCCATTGTGTATGAACGCTTCAGCTCTAAAGCAGTCTTTAATTGTTTGTCCTAAACATAGCAATATATGCTTTTGAAATGTAACATGTCTTTAAAAAATAATAGTATACAGTTTATATTGTGTATCACCTTTAGCTTAAAAATACATAGATGTGTTTTTTTAATCTATAAAATAAATAGACAGACAATTTATAAATCCCAAATTGGGAAATTATTTAACAGCAGCAGTGTGTTCAGGTATTAAAATATTTAAAGTTGGAATAAAGTATAAACTACACAACACAAGTATAATGCACTGCAATCCATAAGATAAATCCGATATGTCCATGAAAACCCCCCAGGAGACACCGACACTAACGTGGCCGAGTGGACTCCGGAGTTTGCTGCATGAGTTGCACTGTATGATCTGTGGTGTAGTGGGCTGTCACTCAAAAGCTGAGGAGCCAATGGGGACGCACCCCTGAAAGTCCCGCCCACCTGGGAGGTTTGTGTCAGAATCTCAAACAAAAAGTGAAGGAGCGCAAATGAGAAAGCTGCAGCGAGAGCAAAAGTCTGATCATTGAGAAAGAAGAAACAAGAACTGCAAACAAAAATCTATGTGTGACGAAGGTAACTTCGTCACTGTGGACTGATGGCTTCGGGCCTTGCATGTGTGCACATTTGTATACAATTTATACTATTGATTGATGTAGTGTTTATTGTATTTTATTTTGAAATGTGTTCCCTTTTCCCCATGTCTGTTGCCGTTGATTGTGTGCACCTGGTGCCCTGTGTTGTCTCCTCCCCCCTCACCTGTGTCCTGTTGGGTTGGGCATTTAGGCTCTGGGGTTTTGCTGTTTGGGAGTGTTTTTTGAGATCTTTGTGGCTGCAGGATGTGTGCAAGGAGAACAGCAAGATTGAGGCTGTGAACTTTGTGCCAAGACAACCAGCGCTGAAATGATGACATGCGGCTATACATGTCATCATTGATCAGATTGGGGAGGGGACCAGAGAAGATTACGGTGTCCGACATTGTTTTAGCATAACTACACACCGACTCCACATTAAGTTTGGTGCATTCTGATTGGCGTAAACGAACATCATTACCACCGACGTGAATAACAATCCTACTGTACTTATGTTTAGCCAGCAGTTTAAGATGCGCCTCAACGTCGCCCACTCTGGCCCCCGGAATGCATGTGACTGTGGAGGCTTCGGTCTCTAAATTCACGTGTCTCATAATAGAGCTACCAATAACCAGAGTTGGCTTCTCAGCGGGTGTCTCGCTGAGTGGGGAATATCTGTTAGATACGTGAACGGGTTGGTGGGGACCTGCGGGTTTCGCGTTATGCCCCTTCTGAACAGTCACCCAGTCTCCCTGCTGCTCGGGAGTTGCCGGGGGACGGCTAATAGGAGCTACCTTTTGCCGGTCCGCACCGGCTAACATGGGCTTTACTGTAGCTGAGTTTCTTTCTAAGATGCGGAGTCGGGCTTCTATGGCTATGATTCCCGCCTCCAACCTAACAACTATACTACATTTAACACATGTACCGGTACCAGTAAAGGAGGTAGGGAAGTAACCAAACACGAGACAGTTAGAGCAGGAAATAGCACCCGAGGGTGGGGAAAGAGCCATGGCTGGCTATCAAGCTAAAGTAGCTACCGTTAGCAAACCCGAAAAGAGTGTAGGCAACTGTGGAGTTACAGTCGCTAAGAGAAGGAGAGTTGTGAGTGCTTAAGCTGTAGTAACGTGTGATTACAACGTCAGGCAGTTGCCGTGATCAAGAGTTTTAAAACGATCGATTAAGTTAAGATAATAAGCTATCAGCAGCAGAACAGGCACACGGGATACCCGGAGATGACAACAACCGGAAGTTACAACATGCTTACCGCAATAGTGGTCCGTGTAGAAACAATAGTGGTCCGTGTAAATCAAAAATGATTTGTTTGCAATTTATAGTTTTATTTTTCAAATTAATTTTATTTTGCTTGACTTTAAACTAATCCCATATTTAAGTTACTTACATTTGTATGAATATATTCAATGCGCATATTATTCTTCAAACTGTAAACTGTTTAACTAAAATAGACAATTAATATAGTTGTATGAGAATAACCTGAAAATGAAGTAGTATGTTTATGTACTTTTCTTATGATCACATACCGGTCTCTGTGTAGACTGTAAGGGAAACTTCTGTGTAGCAATGCAGTGGGAGTCACCGACTCAGGAGAGAGACACGGTAGAGCAGGAGCTTTGATGTCAAACACTGATGATTTATTTGGAGTTTCGTCCGGATGATTGATTCACATCACAAGTCACAGCAGTCACGATATGACCGCATGGTGGGTTGCCACGTCAATTCTGGAGCGCCTCTCTCTCGTCAGCCCATTTAACTGGTTTCACCGAAACTGCAGCAAAAGCAGATTCAACTGTGGGATTTGGAAAGAGCTTAATAAAAAAAAAGAGAAAGCTGGTGATATACGTTAGTCACAAAGTGAGGACAGCTCCCACTCTGGCAAAGACAGATGTTGTCCTTCCTGCTGTAGGTACACGGTGGGAGTGTCTCCGGGAGGATTTGGTAATTTGAGCCGCCCACAAGAAGCTGAAAACTCTTCCCCTCACGAAGCACTCATCCAAGTTCCTAGTTGTTTATCCACCAACAGAAAAGGTCACCCTTGATGTGTAAAGTCCTTTTTGGCATTTAAATGTATAACAAAGCGTTAATTAAATATGTTTTAATTTATCTATTGTGTCTCATGCGATTCAGACATTAGGCAGAGCTCGTTCTCTTTCTTTCAGGAGTGAACCAGAGGCACAGTTTGGGTTTGAACAACGTTTCTGAGTCAATATCTTTCCAACTCGTTCTCTTATTTAGTTTAATGTGGTGCCTGTTCTCTCTAAGAGGTTCAACAGGAGAGCGACAGGAAGCAGCAGTAAGAGACATTTAATTAATAAAGTAGAAACATGTGCTCTTACCTGTACATATTTGAGACCTCAGTGCTGACAGAGCTGCCATATCATGGTGAATATGTCCGATGAAGCTAGTTGGTGTTTCAACGAGGCTGTCTTGATGCAGAATCAGAAGGAGAAGTTCCTGCTGTTTTCTGTGGTCTGATGTACACTTCCTGTCCTGGTGTGCAGCATTCATTTTGCATATATTCTTATACTTCAGGAATCAGGATGTAGGGGAGGAGGTAAAGTCCTCAGAAACCCTGTAAACCAGTGGTTTAAATAACGTTCAACACGTATAGTTAAAGAAGAAGAAGAAGAAGGATCAATGACCTTACAGCCAAATGATGAAACTCACCGTGACTGAAATAAATAGATATAGATATAACACTTTACAGATGTTACATGGGGGACGTATGGAGTCTCATTTACTGATGTGACTGTTAGATGTCATGTTTCTATCTCATTGGCCTCAGAGCTGTCTGTCTGCTGGAGTCCCTTATTAAAAACCTGCTGTTCTCTGTCTGACTAGTGGACTGCACTTTGTTCACAGAAACTGCAGCAAAAGCAGATTAAACTGCAGGATTTGGAAAGAGCTTAATAAAAAAAGTGAAAGCTGGTAATATACGTTAGTCACAAAGTGAGGACATTGCTGTTTCAGACAGATGTTGTCCTCTCTGCTGGTGGTACACGGTGGGAGTGTCTCCGGGAGGATTTGGTAATTTGAAGCTGACAACTCTTTCCCTCACGAAGCACTCATCCAAGTTTCTAGTTGTTTATCCACCAACAGAAAAGGTCACCCTTGATGTGTAAAGTCCTTTTTAGCATTTAAATGTAGAACAAAGCGTTAATTAAATATGTTTTAATTTATCTATTGTGTCTCATGCGATTCAGACATTAGGCAGAGCTCGTTCTCTTTCTTTCAGGAGTGAACCAGAGGCACAGTTTGTAATACACTTTACAGAGGTTACATCAAGATCTGAGTACTTCTACTTTTACTCAAGTACAAGATCTGAGTACTTCTACTTTTACTCAAGTACAAGATCTGAGTACTTCTACTTTTACTCAAGTACAAGATCTGAGTACTTCTACTTTTACTCAAGTACAAGATCTGAGTACTTCTACTTTTACTCAAGTACAAGATCTGAGTACTTCTACTTTTACTCAAGTACAAGATCTGAGTACTTCTACTTTTACTCAAGTACAAGATCTGAGTACTTCTACTTTTACTCAAGTACAAGATCTGAGTGCTTCTACTTTTACTCAAGTACAAGATCTGAGTACTTCTACTTTTACTCAAGTACAATATCTGAGTACTTCTACTTTTACTCAAGTACAAGATCTGAGTACTTCTACTTTTACTCAAGTACAAGATCTGAGTACTTCTACTTTTACTCAAGTACAAGATCTGAGTACTTCTACTTTTACTCAAGTACAAGATCTGAGTACTTCTACTTTTACTCAAGTACAAGATCTGAGTGCTTCTACTTTTACTCAAGTACAAGATCTGAGTACTTCTACTTTTACTCAAGTACAAGATCTGAGTACTTCTACTTTTACTCAAGTACAAGATCTGAGTACTTCTACTTTTACTCAAGTACAAGATCTGAGTACTTCTACTTTTACTCAAGTACAAGATCTGAGTACTTCTACTTTTACTCAAGTACAAGATCTGAGTGCTTCTACTTTTACTCAAGTACAAGATCTGAGTACTTCTACTTTTACTCAAGTACAATATCTGAGTATTTCTCCCACCTCTGCCTATATATATGTATATATATATATATATGTATATCTGTAATGCCATATCTACACTTTAGCTGCATATGACTATAAAGACGTTGAATCTTGAATATTATTTGAAAAAGTGCTATTTTTCATTTACTTTGAAAAGTATACTCTATGAAGAGACTGTAGCAGAAACCAATCAGGAGAGAGAAACACAAAACACCACTTAAGATTATTTACAGTTGTATTGTTTTTGTCCTCTGGCGTGTAGTGTTGTTATTTACATTTCCCTCTAACAATGTCATGATTTCTCTCATAGAAAAAGGGATTGATTCCCAATATGTGACATTAGAAATGTACTTTAAAGGCAGAGCATGGTAACAATATCCATCAGTAAACAGAGAACAGATTGATGACCTTACAGCTGAATGATAAAACTCACAGTGATGACTGAAATAAATAAGTATAAAAATACACTTTACAGAGGTTACACTGCTCTTTTCTGACTCTTGAATCAGATGTTGGAGAGTCTCACTTCATGCTCAGATTCAGACGGAGACATGTTAGTCCTGATGGTTTGTTCCTCTGATGAACTCTCCATCTGTATGGCTGCATTGTAGGTTCTTCTCTTAAATCGTATTAAAACAATGCAGGCCATGCTGACGACAAAGAGAATCAGAGTTGTTATCACAGCGATAAGCCAGAGTCCTCTCGGACTCTCTGCTTGAGGACTCTCTGATGGTCTCTGAGGTTCGAGCTCTTCAGCAGCTGTGGAAAAGGACAGAATATAACATGAGGAACCATTTTAGTGTTAATAAATAACAGGTCTAATCTACGTTAAGTAATCTGAGGTTTCTATAAGTGCTGCCTTACGGAGCCTCTATGGATGTGACATTTAAATCTACTTTGACTTCCTGACCTCTACTGACTTTACTCACCAGTCACATTCAGCCAGCATCTCCCATTGTTCCGTCCATAATCAGTGAACACTTTACAGACATAAAGTCCTGAGTCACTGGTCCTGAGTCTGGAGACATGAAGTGTGAGGCGTCCTTCTGTGAGGACGTCTTTGTCCCACTGGACTCGTCCTGCAAACTCTGGATCCTGAGACTCTGGGGATTCAACACCTCCATGGAGATGAAACAGGACGAAGGGTCTGGTCTCAGTAAACAGCTTACAGAGGATAGAAATTGATCTGAGAGAAGTTTCTCTTCTGGTGCTGAAGGTCCACTCCAAGGTGATGTTCTGGTTCTCCTCTGCCTGATAGGAAGTCTGAGTCACATTCACTACAAATCTTCCTGTGGAGGAGACACAGAGGGACTCTTTAAACTGCAGCTATGTTCCTGTGGAGGAGACACAGAGGGACTCTTTAAACTGCAGCTATGTTCCTGTGGAGGAGACACAGAGGGACTCTTTAAACTGCAGCTATGTTCCTGTGGAGGAGACACAGAGGGACTCTTTAAACTGCAACTATGTTCCTGTGGAGGAGATACAGAGGGACTCTTTAAACTGCAGCTATGTTCCTGTGGAGGAGACACAGAGGGACTCTTTAAACTGCAGCTATATGTTCCTGTGGAGGAGACACAGAGGGACTCTTTAAACTGCAACTATGTTCCTGTGGAGGAGACACAGAGGGACTCTTTAAACTGCAACTATGTTCCTGTGGAGGAGACACAGAGGGACTCTTTAAACTGCAGCTATGTTCCTTTGGAGGAGACACAGAGGGACTCTTTAAACTGCAGCTATGTTTCTCTGCTGCTTCACTGAGAACAGCTTTAAAGAGACCAACTGAAACTTTTTTATTCAGCATGTTAAGAAAAAGCCAAAATGTTGAGTAAAATATCAATCTTTCAATTTGAGGGCAGTTATTAGGAAACATGTATCAGAAAAAACAGTTAAGCTTTAAAAGTTTAATTATTGAGAATAAACATTGAACTTTTAAGAATAAACTACTTTTGTCAGAGAATATACTGAAAGCTCCACTTCTTGACATTTTGATTTAAAAAAGCTAAATAAATCAGAATCCCCCTCCTCAGTGTTGACCCTCTTTTCTTGCTCTAATAGTGTTCCACACCAAAGAGCTCTAAGATGCTTCTTTAGGAAAAGGTACAACGAGACACAAAAGGTTTTTCAATAATATTCAAGGTGTCTAAGTGGGCGATAAAGGAGTACACTAACCAGAGACACAGGGGGTGAGGAAGAGGAGCAGCAGGATGAGGAAGATCATCTTCTCCCTGTGAGAGGACACACACACACACACACACACACACACACACACACACACACACACACACACACACACACACACACACACACACACACACACACACACACACACACACACACACACACACACACACACACACACACACACACACACACACACACACACACACACACACACACACACACACACACACACACACACACACGGTCACTATTAGAAAATGACAGTCTGTCTTATCACAGCATTTATTAAAGAGCAACCAGAGGACAGTCATCGTCTGACACTAGGTGGCGCCAGATATTAACATTGTATTATATTTTCTTATAACTGAACCAGGACCCAAACTACTGTCGATTCGCTTCATGAGCTTCTGCAGATCCATATTGTGACATTACATGAGCACAGACTCAGATCTGCTGTCACACTGAATGGATTTGCAGAAGTCGCTTCATAGAGCTTCTTTTCTAAATTAAATCGATAAAAATAGCACTTTTTAAATATAACAGAAGATCACAGATATGCAGCTGAATAAATGTTAATATTATTCACCATGGGTTATAATAAACCAATATAATAATAATAATAATAATAATAATAATACCTTTTATTTCGAGGCGCCTTTCAGGACACCCAAGGTCGCCTTACAGTGCATTTAAAAGTTAAAACAGCTAAAACAAAAACGGAACACAATTGAATCGAACCGACAAGGCAATACAGCAGCATAAAAGCATAAAACAGGCAAGACAAGAGTGTGGAGTGACGGAGTGAGAGGAGGATCTGTGATAGCAGGTTGAATGTGTTTTAGAGTGAGTAGGCCAGTTTAAACAGGTGGGTTTTGAGGTGGGATTTGAATGTCGTGATGGAGTCAGACTGTTTGATGTGTGGAGGCAGAGAGTTCCAGAGCCTGGGCGCGGTGCAGCTAAAAGCCCTGGCTCCCATGGTGCTAAGGCGGGAGGTGGGGACAGTCAGGAGTCCGGCTGAGGATGAGCGCAGGGAGCGGGAGGGGGTGTATTCCTGGAGGAGGTTTGAGAGATAGGTGGGGGTGAGGTTGTTGAGGGCTTTGTATGTAAGCAGAAGGTTTTTGTAGTCAATCCGGTGCTGAACAGGGAGCCAGTGAAGTTGGATGAGGATGGGGGTGATGTGGTCAGACGATTTGGTACAGGTAATGATCCGGGCAGCCGAGTTTTGAATGATTTGGAGTCTGTTGAGTAGTTTTGTGGGTAGGCCAGAGAGGATAGCATTACAGTGGTCAATCCGGGATGTGACAACTGCATTAACCAGTATTTCAGTGCTGGATTGTGAAAGGGATGGGCGGAGTCTGGAAATGTTGCGGATATGGAAGAAGGCAGTCCGGGTGATGTTTTTTATGTGGGGTGCAAACGAAAGGGTGCTGTCCAGGATGACGCAAAGGCTTTTGACTTGGCTGGTGAAGGATACAGGGAAGCCGTCGATCATGATGCTTGGGGGTGGGGTGGTTAGGATTTTGGAGAGGGTGTTTTTTGAGCCGATGAGCAGGGCCTCAGTTTTACTACCATTTAGCTTCAGGAAGTTCCTGCTCATCCAGCTCCTGATATCCTGGAGGCAGGTGGTGAGGGAGGTGGGCGGGAGGGCGGTGTTGGGTTTGGTTGAGATATAGACTTGCGTGTCGTCAGCATAGCAGTGAAAGTGGAGGCCATGGTGACGGAGGATTGTGCCTAGTGGGAGGAGGTAAATGATGAATAGGAGTGGACCCAATACTGACCCCTGGGGGACACCCAGTGAAACAGGAGAACACCCTGACCTGTGGTTCCCCAGCTGGACAAACTGTTGTCTGTTGGTAAGGTAGGAGGAGAACCAGGAGAGTGCAACACCAGTGATCCCAATGTCAGCCAAGCGTTCCAGGAGTAGTGGGTGGGAGATTGTGTCGAAGGCAGCGGTGAGGTCGAGGAGGATGAGGATGGTGAGCAGTCCAGAGTCAGCTGCACGGAGGAGGTCGTTGGTGATTTTAACCAGAGCTGTGTCGGTACTGTGCATTGAGCGGAAACCAGATTGGAAGGGTTCATGGAGGTTGTTTGAGTCGAGGTGGGACTGGAGTTGAGCGGCAACCACCCTTTCAAGGGTTTTTGAAATGAAGGGAAGGTTGGAGATGGGCCTGTAGTGGTTAAGGTCAGCTGGGTCAGCATTGGGTTTTTTGAGGGTGGGTGTGATAGCAGCCATTTTGAGGGTGGGGGGTACAGTTCCAGAAATGAGGGAGGAGTTAATTATTGTTGTGATCATGGGGGAAATGGACGGCAGACAGGCTTTGATGAGGGTAGTGGGGAGGGGATCAAGCTGGCAGGTGGTGCATTTGGCTTTGCAGATGAGCTTGGAGATGGTGGCTTCTGATGCTGGAGTGAAGTTGGAGAGGGTGCTGGTGGGTGGTTGGACCGTGGTGGCCATCCAGAGTGGGTCCGTTGAGGGGGCGCCTGATGAGGCCAGCTGTAGGTGGATGTTGCAACTCGTTCTCTTCTCTTGGTTTAATGTGGTGCCTGTTCTCCATAAGAGGTTCAACAGGAGGAGACGGTTCAGGAGAGAAAGTCCTCAGAAACCCTGTAAACCAGTGGCTTAAATAACGTTCAACACGTATAATTAAAGAAGAAGAAGAAGGATCAATGACCTGACAGCCAAATGATGAAACTCGCAGTGACTGAAATAAATAGATAGATATACCACTTTACAGATGTTACATGGAGGACGTATGGAGTCTCATTTACTGACGTGACTGTAAGATGTGATATTTCTATCTCATTATCTCATTGGCCTCAGAGCTGTCTGTCTGCTGGAGACCCTTATTAAAAACCTGCTGTTCTCTGTCTGACTAGTGGACTGTAAGACCCACGTTTATATATCAGTTTGATAAACTGCTATGTCCAAGAATGAAAGGCTACGGTTTCAAAGTCAACAAAAACATTTATTAACGAGATAACTCACACAAACATAGCACTATTAAAGCACTACACTTGATTTAGTGAATCCACAGTTCCACTTTCTGATCTGAGAAAGATGTATTCTGTTTCCTGCAGGCACAAACACCGTGAAGGATCTGTATACAGTTTCATAAGTGAACTGTGGTTAACCACAAAGTAACAGAAGACTTCCTCTTCTTTGCACCGACTGTCAGATATGAAGGGGAGCTACGGAAAAAAAAACGCACGCTCTTTTGTGAGGCAGCTTTTGAGTTTGTGAAACTAGAGGAAATGACAGTTTGCCATCCCCAAGGGAAACAAGGACCTTTTGGTTTTTAAAGATATTATGATCGTGTGATATTTTAGCAGCCTAGCCAATGAAATGCATGAAGTGCAAACACTTGAATCTTGTCAGAAAAATGTGAGGAAATGTGTATTTATTTATTTTCTGAGAAACTCATGAAAAGTTACTTTTTAAGGAAACATGGTTCAGTGTTTGATGGACTTAAAACCACTAAAGCAGGAACATAATATCCCATTTTACAGCCGTAAGCGCCGAGGAAAATGTGAGGAATATGAAAACATTTGAGAAATTATGAAATGCTACTTGATAGAAA